TTTATTTTCATTGAACAAAACAAAACCAAAAATTGGTGTCCTTGACTGAATCTGGAACTGACATTCATACTCCCTCTGCAAGTCTCAAGTTCTGAGATTCTAAGTTCTGTGACTTGTCCACACATCTTCTACCTGGCTGGGTTAATTAGTCTCCTTTTAATCCTCCTGGTCTTCCTGGGTACTGTCTCTCCCCCAGAAGAATTATTCTCAGAGTTGCTGTGAATGATAGTCATAACCTTATTTACTTTGGCTAAAAGTATAGGAGAATAAGGGCCCATTCAGTGTGATCAATCCCAAGCTACTAAATAAGTAGTGAGTCTTGATCTCCTTTTTCATTTGGTCCAGAATATTCATTCCTACCCAGTAATGGGTTCTGTCCTATTGGCAGAGGACGCTTCTCCAGGAGGGCTCACAGCAGTGCAAATTGACAATCTGTCTGAGATGTTGGAAACACATGGAATGACTACTAGGTATTTAGGCTAAGGAATAAAATGTAAAATTTCTTTTTTGATGGATCCTTCTAGTAGAATACCAAATTGTGTGAACAGAATGATCTCAAATATACAAAAGCTATGGGTAGTTATGTGCATTTATGAACATGAATTCCATTATTGTATATAATTGAATGAATTATAATTATAATGCACAAACAACAAAAGTTATGGGTAGATAAAAGGAGGAAATATGGTACCATGTCCATGACGATCTGTCTTTGGATGAAGGAATAGTGGGTGATGTTTTCCTTGCTCTTTTGTGCTTTTTGTATTTTCTTTTATAAGTAAACAATAAGTTGAACAACAACAACAACAGCAAATAATTTATCTTCTCTTTTTTTAATACCGGGAAAAGTAAATATTATCAGATATTGAAGAGTTTGGAGAAAATTTCAGAGGATGCATTTTAACTTTTCAAATTAGTTCAATTCATCTTCATTAGAAATGAAGAAAAATATGCCAAGTGAATTTTATGATATTTACTGACTTTCCTAAACCCCCACTGGGAGATGCAAGAGACCAAGGGCTCCGTGTACTTTGTAAGGCAGACATCTTCCCTAGTGAGAGTCCTTGGAATTCAAAGTATATTTCAGATCTTGTGAGTGAAGGAATGAGGGGGCTTCAGGACGTGTACACCAGAGTTCCAGAGGGTACATCACCCCTTTCCTGCAGTTTCACATTACAGCTGTAGGTGACTGCTGTGGAACCTCAGCTCAGAGGAGCTGCTGGGCTCTCATTTAATGAGATACACCAAGACTGACTGTTTTCACTTAAAATAAGTTACTGCTGACTAATTAGTGCTCACAGCACGGTTTTCATTTAATTATAGGAGACTACTTTTAGCATAATCAATTTTCATCTAGTCTCAGAATCCAGACTTCATTCACATAGCTGCAATTAACGCAGCTCCCTCTTTAATGAATTTTAGAGAAACCTGAAACATATTTGAATTTTAAACATTTTAGACATGACTCAGGAGACTTTATTTATTGATGATTTTCTTAGCTATTCTGGGATTTAGGTAGATTGATTTTTATTCCTGACATGTAACAAGTTATCTGCTTATCTGCTTATGAGCTGTTGTTTGCAATCTATTTCCATTTTTAAGAATAGCTCTCTGATGATATCAATGGTACATGGAATATGCAGTATGGTGGTCAACAGGAGCAGCTTTCTTCTCAGATGAATCTTGGTTCAAGTTCTTTCTCTGTTGTTGACCTTCTGCAAGTCCCTTAAGAAAACTGGCTCTTGTTTCCTCATCTTTAAAATGAAGATATAATAGAAACTTGGATTAATTATTATTCTGACTGAATGATAAAATATATCTGTGGCATAAATCTCATGGTAGATACTCAACAAAAGTAGGTGTTCCTATTAGTGTTTTATCCTATTGGAAAAAAATATAAAGGAAATAAACCTCAAAGCTTATCTACACATGCTGCGAATGTTCTGTTTTTAAATTTTTCATATTGCATATTCTTCTTCTAGATACTTCCACTCTCTTCATTTAAATCTCTCTCTTCCATGTAATGATTCAAAAGTAGGAGCAAGGTGAAGAAAATTATGGCAAAGTTCTTCAAGGGATTGTTAGATAGCAATTAAAATTGTGTTGGAAGAATTTATTAAAACATTGAAATAGTCCTTGAGTTATAATATTCCTTGAGAAACAGTATGATTGCAATGATAACAAATATAGTATTATGATTTCTAATAATACAATACTCTGCCAGGGAGAAAGACGGCAGAGAAGCACACAAGTAGTGCTGTATTTATGGGATGGGATTATGAGTAACCCATCCCAACACCTTTCCTTGTACTTTTCAAAATTTCCCCCAATTAAAAAAAATTTTTTTTGTAGTTGTAGATGGACAGAATGCCTTTATTTTATTTGTTTATTTTTATGTGGTGCTGAGGATCGAACCTAGTGCCTCACACATGCTAGGCAAGTGCTCCACCACTGAGCTCCGGCCCCAGCCCAAATTTCCTATTGCAGGCCAACATTATTTTGGTGAAAAAGTAAGAGTATATATAAAAGATGCTTAATTCTGGTTTTTTTTTTTTGGAAATTGCTATTTTTTAAAAATTTGTTTTACTTAGTTACATATGACAGTACAATGATCTTGACATATCATACATTTGAATCAAAAGCTTAATTCTTTTCAAATTCAACTTTTCCATGATGTCTTCTACAATGACCCCACAATAGAACAATTTCTTCAGCTCTGATATTCTATGGAATTGATACCTGTTCCTTCAGCACTGATATTCTGTGGAAGAAGAGAGAAGTGTTCTAGAAGCTCCCTTATCTCTATGAAGCAAGTCATTTAAACCTTATTTTGTCCTCATTTGTAAAGTTGGAATACGGCATTTATTAGAAAGTAGCTTGAGCTTCTTTGTTTACACAGATTAACTTAAACCAGAATCAGCTGGAGGGGAGATCTCAGCACAAGATCACGTAATCTTTTTGAAGAGGTCTTCTATGTTGTTTACTGATCTCTAAAAATTACATTCTAAAGCATTTCCCCAAAAGTATATTTAACATTTTTCCTTTAACTTTTTTATTGTAAAACTATAAAATAAAAATTTCTATATGAATCAAGGCAAAATTAAATATGAATCAATGGGGTTGGGGTTGTAGCTCAGTGGTAGTGCACTTGCCCAGCATGCCCGAGACCCGGGGCTCAATCACTAGCACCATACATACATCACTGGGGAATTGTAAGGGATAGCAGCATATTAGCAGTTCCAATTCATCCATTTATTTTAGTTATCCTTAAGTTAAAATAGAGATACTTCTAATTTTGTGGTCAAACCTAATTGTTAATTAGAAAGATCCTGGAGCTTTGTTAAAAAAAAAACTGATCAATGTGAGATTGTGTGCCAATTCTGCCTGTGAGAAATCTGGCTTTCTTTTTGCCTCTTTAACATCCATTGGTTAACTGTTACTGGATCAAAAACTTAAAAAAACAAAACAAAACAAAAAAACACCAAACCAAACAAAACCAA